GAAACGGAGTTAGAGTATACTTACTTGGTCTATCATGAAGCAGCTAGATGAACGTCAGATTCAGTTGATTGAATAACTGATCGGTCCTTGACGCACGACTAGTGATTGATATCAGGTAAGATCAGACATGCATTGAGAAATCGACACGGACCGTATCCGAGGGGGGTTGACGTAGGTAGCCTGATTGAAAAAATCTTAGGGAACGTTTAAACGGAGTGCGCATCAAGTACTGGATGTGTAAAATCTGTAAGATCGTGTCAGGGAAGGACTGGCACGTGACTTAAAAGACAGGCTCACAGTGTAATGAACAGCGTGAAGTATCGGTTCTGCGCCTTGTAAGCATGAGGAACGCTCAGATGCGGTGGCGTACCCATATCTGCAGTAAGGGTCAGGGATGTTGCAGTATAAACGTGTATCGACTCACATATAGCCATTTCACGAGTGATTTTGGACGTTTCCAGACCATCTCCACCTGACAGGTTTTGTTTTGAGTCCGACGAAATCCGGAGCCTCTCGGCGTGAGACGTACCTCTCTGCGAAAGAGATGAGACAGTCGAATCTGTGAGGACCCAGTTCAGAGATCATATCCGGCAAGACGATGGAGCCATCTCACACCAACATTGTCGAAGCGGCGACTAATGAAAGTCAAAAGGAGAAGCTGAAAGAGGACCATCCGGCTTACCTGCGCCATATTCTGTCACTTTCGCGTCAGCAGCGAGCTGAAGAAGCAGCACATTGACAGGTGGTTGATTCATTGGCGGAGACGAAGAAAAGGCCACTGGAGACGGACAACGTTCGACTTTTATATCTGTTAAAAATCGCGCGGTGCACGAGATCAGTCGATCATCCCGTATTTTTGGGTGATTGAAATGAAATCTTCTTCCCTGTCCTGTCGGAGGCTTCACTGGAGGCTTCATTGGTTTCAGTGTCGTTTCAGTGCTTACTTTGCTGCATTCGCCAGGAATCGCTACACGGATCAGAGGGCTCATTGACAGGGGTGCGTCGGTGGGAGAACTACCAAGTCAATACACAGCTTCCGTCGCAGATGGATGCAGTGCCTCCGACGGGAAGGGTGTCGCGTTTGCAGTAAATACTGCAGAGCTGTGGAGGGATGCGGAGTCAGATTACGTTAAAGAATCAGATGGAGTCGAGTCGAGAAGCACAGGCCGGATAGGGGCGGTTAAGAGAGCTGTTAAGAGTCATCAATGAGTATAGGACTGTGCGCCGTGCCCGTCACGGGCACGGCCGTCATTTCGACGTGTGGATGACGGGCACACCCGTCCCGTCTCCGTCCCGTCATGGAGATTTCTCAAATCTCTACGGAATTCTTTCCTCCCCGCCCGCAGAAGGAGCGCAGGTACTGGAAACCATGAAGGCACTATTCCGAGTCCCAGATTCCAACTTTGAGAACCTTTTGCGAATTATAGACGGGCTCACGCCGGATAGGACACGCAAACAGACTTTTTGAGGGCAAAACATGACAGTGAAGCGTATTTAAATCTAGCTTAATCATCTCCAACAATCTCCATAACTGCGAGGCGAGCGAGGCGAAGGCGTTGTTTAACCATCATCAACATTCTGATTGTGTCGGACTTCAAACTCGCGCGGCGCAGGGAGATTGTATCACACAGCAGAGCTTGAAATTCCATCAGGAAAATGCTTCGGGTCTGGCCTGTCTGATCGTCTGGCACGATCTGGCCGGTCTGGGAGGTGGCTGTGCTCCAGCTCGCGCCAGATCGTCGTAGTATTCCACATATCCACACCCCACCATTTTCCTGAAACTACCACAATATTTATGGGTCCGCCGTCCCTCAGTTGAACTCATTCCATCATCAGAAAAACCCAGATTCCCCAATGGTTCGTCAATTGTTGGCAATTTTCAACAATCTGGTATTCAACCTCAATCCTTCCCATTCTGTAAAATTTTTGGACAATCAACATGGTCTCCATTTTTATGCTTCGGACAAGCGGGAATTATATCCTGATATATGCCCAGGTACATTAGACAGGTGCCGGACCTCTGAATTCTCTGCGGGAAGAAATGGTGCGCAGTGAAAGGTGTCATAAAGCCAACCGAGACCCACCCTAAACCTCCCGTAAAGCCGCCCGGGGCTGTTCAAACACGTAACAGAACACGTGAGCCCAGAAGTTGGTTGCTTTTGATGAACGCAACAACATCATTAAACACCTTTCTTCCTTTACGCACCCACTTTCTGTCTCACCCACCTCCCCTCCCTGTCCTCAAGCACCCTACCGGGCCAATCCCAGGTATGTTTCCTGCCCCACCATCTTCATTCCATTCGATGACGACCTGCGGCCAGTCATAGAACCCCAAATCTGGACTTTCACTCGAGATAAGTTGTCTACTATCGGTGAGTCCAGGCTGCACTTCCTACTGGCCGTTCTTACTACACTGTTCCCTGTGGTACTGACATCCATTTTAGAACCGATTTAGAGCCGATTTGATCCAGCACCATTGTCAAGCCCGTTGGACGTCACCGCCCGTGGCTACCTGTATCACGGAGCTGCCGAGTGTAGCCCTCCCGGTTGAGCAGGTGCGTGGCTACCAAGAGCTTCGTCGCAGTCCCTTAGGCGGCCCGAGTGGCAAAATACCTTGTCCAGATCCAGAGCATGAGCATGGCTAAATACGAAGAGACCGTGGCAAACAGCACCGCTCTCATCGGCACCCGCGGCGGCGACGACGATGCGGAGGAATCTAGCGAGGGCCCGGATCCGCGTCTGGAGATCTTCATTTCAGGTCGATGAGCCTGAGGAGGAGCTCGAGGAGCAGCAGGTACGTACAACCCCCCTCGTCATGTCCGTCTGTTTAATATGATTCTTCTCAGGCTACCCCAGGCGAGGAATAAATTCCGAGCTCGTTACTAGTAGTGTAGTCATGGTGGCCGTGCGGTGCAGTCCGCCGCCAATAAAATAGAACCCTTCTCCGTATACAATGCAATCATTTCCCTGCCCTCCGTTACTAAGTATGTGCGTATGTCGGATTGAGCAATAGTGATATATATAGTACAGAAAATGGAAGGGTACCCCATTATGGTGTTGGAGAAAACTGGCCGTTCTGGCAGGCAGTTGGATTCTGCCGCCATAAATCGGTTCTGTCGAGTATGGCACCACAAAAAAATAAATAGCACCGCGCAGGTCATTCTGGCGCCACAACACATTGTGGATGCATGGCTTGTCTGGGGGCTATGGCGCCATACCTGCCATACCCCTGCCAGACACGAAACATTTTGCTGATTAGTACGAAACACGACAGCACGACACATTACGAAAGCACGGCACATTAGCTCAATGTGCCGGCTTTGGTTCAGAATGTGTCAGGTTTGGTTCTAAGTTTGAACTACCATCAATCTTTCCATCCCACACAAGTCCCTTCAACAGCATTACAATATACCTGGGCCTAACACTAACCACTAACACTAACCACTAACCCTAACCCCTAACCCCTAACTTCTAACCTCTAACCCAAAACCCTAACAAACCCTAACCACTAACCCATGTGAATGTGCTGTGTTCGAGCTCATTCTTGGCCTATGTGTCGTGGATCCCTATGCATGTGCCGTGTTCTAAATGTGTCGTGCGTGCGGGTTTCGTTTATCCCGCGGACAGAGGGCTGAGTGGACGGGGCCACCTTATCAGCGTAGTGGAGTCGGAAATGTGTCTCGAGTTTAGACTTGGCGGCCTCGAGGCCGTCGAGGAGCTCTTCGTCGTGCTCGAAGTCGGCCTTCAAGCCTTCGTAGGAAACGCGCGGATCGAGAACTAAGTTTGTGTCAGCATATAGGCACAAAGTGGAGATATTAAAACGGCACGTACGGGCACCCCAGGTGTAGTATGGGGACTCGTCCGACTTGTAGTAATAGTTGCTCAGTTTGGTGTGCGCTTCAACCAAACCATTCCGGAGTGCAGACGGGGTGGCGAGCGGGAGTTCGCGAATGGAGGTACGGATGTGCTCGCGGTAAAAGTATTACTTTTACCGTGGTTTTGGCGGTAGTTACCCGGGGTAAAATTATAACTTTTACTTTCCAGATCTTTCCCGTGGGAAAAGTTTGCCTTTTTCCGGCGGAAAAATTCGGGGAAAATGTTCAACTTTTTCCCTCGACTTGCGTGTGGTATCAGTACTAACTTTACTTTTTTTTTCCCCTAGGTAAAAGTTTCCCACGGTAACTGGATATCCTAGGTCTAGGCCCATTTTCCCGCAGTAAAATTATTTGATCACCGCCGTGCCTCTACTTTCGTTCGAATAAGAGGGAGGAAGGGGATGTGGTGTACGGTGCACCGCTGCTTTCACTGGAAAGGCTTTCGTATATGGTGTCAAGCAGCATGCCGGGGTTCGACTCCCTGCATCCCACTTCTTCTCTTCTTCAAACATTGCCCTTTTATTCGCCGTCCCCGATGGGCTGGTGCACACTCTGAGTTATTTTCGCTCGAATGTGTGGAGGGAAAGTGACATGGTGTATGGTGCCCCGCTGCTTTCACTCAGAAAGTCTTGGTATGCAGGCAGTAAGAGGGGTTCGACTCCCCGCGTCCTCAAGGCTCATGTCGTTTCTGCAGTATGTTTTTGTGCCGCAAACTCACCAAAATCAGTAGTAAATTGGAGGGTAAATGGGGGGAAAGAAAGGGACATGGTGTATGGTGCACCGCTGCTGTCCTTCCAAAATAATTCTTCCGTGAACGCAGAGAGACGGTGTAGTGGTGAGGTCTGGTCGTTGCTTAGAGTAGCTGTGTGTGTCCATGTTTGGCGAGAGCCTCTAGCTTAGTCATCAGCCAAGCCTTGTTCTGCGCCATCCGCATTCGATCCTTTGCGTCGCCATATCGCAGGATCTCTGGCTGCTCAGGCCTCAGCACGCCATTCTGGCCGTCTCCAACGGGGCTCGACTCCCCGCGTCCCACTTTCTTCTTCGAATATGGCTTTTTTTATTCACCGCCCCCGATGAGTCGATAAAAACTCTGTGACATAATTTAGTTCGAATAAGAGGGAGGAAGGGGATGTGGTGTACGGTGCACCGCCGCCTTCCTTGTATAATACATGCCAGAGTGAAAGCAGCGAGCCGGGGTTCGACTCCCCGCGTCCCCATTGTGTTGCTCTCAACGACATTTTTTTTTTCCTTTCTCCTTTCTCCATCTTCCTCCTCCTCTCTCCATCCTCCTCCCTCCCCGCTGAACTCTGTTTTCGCGATCCCATTATATTCAGATACGCGGCGGGGTAGTGCCTTATGTCCTGCGTGATTGAATAGACACGCGAATTCCAAGTTCTAACAAGTGACCGCACGCGAGCCGGCGTCAGGCGTAGACAGACGGGGACAGTCAACCGTGCCTTGGTAAAACTGAGCAGAAAAACGGAGGGCAGGGAGTCTCTCATACCGGATAAAGTATTGACGGCCATTATGGTGATGCAAAACCTGGATCGTTCAGTTGCACTGGAACACAGATATTAGGACGACTTGCACTGCGGTCATCTCGGCTTGTGAGGGTAAAATGAGACCAATGGGCACATACAGCGGACGCAGGTGACTTGCCTATCATCATAAGCAGCAGCACACCGAATATTCGACGTGATCTTTCGCTGAGGATCCAGATTCTGCCCGGGAATCCAAAATTTCCAAGTTGATTGCGGGGACGTTCGGAGGAACGCACTGCAAGTGTAATATTATATCCACAGTCCCGATAATGATTGTGGCACTAATACCCTGTATCTGACCGATCGTTGGGAAAGCCAGAAACGGAGTTTGAGTATACTTTTTGGAATGAAAGCAGTAAGCCGGGGTTTGACTCCCCGCGTCCCACTTTCTCCTCGAATATCGCCTTTTATTCGCCACCCCGATGAGTTTAAGATAAAAACTCTCTGATCTGGCTCAATTGAAATAGCAGGGAATAAGGGGACGTGGTGTACGGCGCACTGCTGCTTTCCTTTCATGTTACGCGAAGCAGGATGAAAGCAGCGAGCCGGGGTTCGACTCCCCGCGTCCCCATTCGATTTTGCTTTCTTATCTTTTATCGCGCGGACTGTATATTTATAGTCCATAGTAAATCCGGGTTGAAACAGCAGGGAATAAGGGGACGTGGTGTACGGTGCACCGCTGCTTTCACTAAGATGTGTTCAGTGAGGTTAAGCAGCAGGTCGGGGTTCAACTCCCCGCGTCCCACTTCCTGTGTTCTCCCGACCTTTTTAAACACGGATTTGAACTCCACGGGTTATTGAGGTTCGAATGTGAGTGATGAAAGGAATGTCGCTGCTCTTTATAATGCAGCATTGATCATGAGTGAAAACAGCAAGCCGTGTTTCAACAACATTTTTTGTAGCAACAAAATGCCTCGTAAATTGGGCTTTGAAATAAGGAGAGGGAACGGAACGTGGTGTACGGTGCACCGCTGCTGTCCATCCATAGTAATTCTTGCGCAAACGCAGAAAGACGGGGTTCGACTCCCCGCGGCCCACTCTCTTCTTCGAATGTGGCCTTTTTATTCGCCACTCCCGATGAGGTGATGCACGCTGGGATATATTGAGGTTCGAATATGTAGAGGGAAAGGGACGTGGTGTACGGTGCACCGCTGCCTTCCTTACCACGGCATTTTCGCATTAAGTGAAAGCAGAAAGCCGGGGTTCGACTCCCCGCGTCCCCATTCAATTGCTTGCATAAATTTTATCGCGAGGACTGTATATTTATAGTCCATAGTAAATTCAGGTTGAAACAGCAGGGAATAAGGGGACGTGGTGTACGGTGCACCGCTGCTCATAATGCCCAGCTCTTAATCCATGCAGGCAGCAAGCCGGGGTTCGACTCCCCGCGTCCCACTCTCTTCTTCGAAGTACGCTTTTTATTCGCCATCCCCCGATGGGTTGATCCAAACTCTCTGATCTGGCTCAAATGAAATACCAGGCAATAAGGGGATGTAGTGTACGGTGCACCGCTGCCTTGCCTAGGTGTTCCGTCATGTAAACGCAGCAAGCCGGGGTTCGACTCCCCGCGTCCCACTCTCTTCTTCTTATTATCGCCTTTTTATTCGCCATCCCCGATGGGTTGATCCAAACTCTCTGATCTGGTTCAAATGAAATATCAGGCAATAAGGGGATGTGGTGTACGGTGCACCGCTGCTCATAATGCCCAAATCTTAATCCATGCAGGCAGTGAACCGGGGTTCGACTCCCCGCGTCCCCGTGTCGCTGCTTCAATCGATTTTTGTGCCACCAGCTCAAAGAAATCAGTAGTAACTTAGGGCTGAAACAGGCAAGGGGGAACCGGGATTCGAACGAGTAATTTTCTTTTTCTTGTCTCTCCTTCTACTCGTTCCCTGTGCTCCGGGCTGGACTCTGTTTTCGGGATTACATTATGTTCAGATACGCGGCGGGGTACTGCCTTATTTCCTGGGTGACATGGACACGCGAATTCCAAGTTCCAACAAGTGACCGCACGCGAGCCGGCGTCAGGCGTAGACAGACGGGGACAGTCAACCGTGCGACGCCGGCGTGCCGCTGATGGACGTAAACGCCGGAAGGGGAAATCCATTGACACCCAGAAATAAGTAGTGTGCCCCATGCGGCTCGCATCAGTGTCAGAAAGCGGCTAGTTGGCGGGGCTATGTAGGGTGGAGTCGGGTAGCGCCTGCTAGGAGACCGGACAACGGCGAGGCTATGCGACCCCAATTTTTACCCGAACTTTTAGCGAGATATTCGAGAACGCAGCGCGAGATAGGAGGAATCATAGGTAAAGTGCTACGCGCTGCAGGTCCATGTGGGGCGGCGGCGGCGACATACTTACTCTGATACTGATACTGCTACTGAATGTGAGTGGTGTCGTTGTCAGTCTAAGTTCGCTATCATTCATTTCGTTAAATGACAGTACCTAGCGGGAGTAATTGAGTATGCATCGTCGGCGACAGTGACGGCGATGGATGCTGATTGGACCCACCGTGTTGTGTTACAGTTCCATGAGCAAGTGTGTCCTTCGACGCTTCGTTCCTCCTTGGCGCGCGCCGCGTCGTTGTGTTACAGTTCCATAAGCAAGTGTGTCCTTCGACACTTCGTTCCTCCGAGTCCTTGGCGTCGTTGCAACGGAAGAACCCGAAACGCGCCGGGCGCCTTGGCGCTTAGTCACTGACGATTCGCCAGGCACAAGCGGCGATTGGGCGATAACGGCGGCAAAAAGCGTTCTCCCGCCGCGTGCGACAATCGGCTGGTAATTCCATATGTGCAGTTCCGCGATACACAATCTCGGCACCTTATGTATAGGCGGGTTCTTCTTCTTTGCTTTGACGACCGACGACTTTGCCGACTGCATTCAAGACGAAGACTGCTGCATTGAAGACTGCTAGCAAGACGCAACGATGGGCAGCGACACGTACCTGCACGCACTCGCGGCGCGCACGCTCAACATCACCTACGACGCCTCCGGCGACATCAACTGGGTCGACCCCACAGACGGCACCCTCTTCGTCTACAACCTCGGCGACATCGCTTGGGTGCGCCTTCCATTCTCCCCCTCTCCCCTTGCTTTGCTGGTGGGGAAAGGCTGACGGAAGTATGTAGGTCCTGACCTCGACGGCGCTCGTCTGGCTCATGATCCCCGGCGTGGGCTTCTTCTACTCGGGGCTCCTGCGGCGCAAGAACGCGCTGAGCATGATCTACCTGAGCATGATGACCGTCGCCGTCGTCTCCTTCCAGTGGTTCTTCTGGGGCTTCTCGCTTGCGTTCAGCGAGACCGGCAGCGCCTTCATCGGCGACCTCAAGGTGCGCCCTTTGTCGTTTGGTTAATTTCCTCCCGAACTGACGCTAACGGCGCCAGTACTTCGCGCTCCGCGGCGTGCTCGAGCGCCCGTCCATCGGCTCCACGCGCATCCCCAGCATCGTCTTCTGCGTGTACCAGCTCATGTTCGCCGCCATCACGTGCGCCCCCTCCCTCCTCCACCCGCCCTCCCTACTAACACGCCCCGCCCCACCCAGCCCGATCCTCGCCCTCGGCGCGGTCGCCGAGCGCTCGCGCCTCTGGCCGACGCTCGTCTTCGTCTTCGTGTGGAGCACCCTCGTGTACGACCCCATCGCGTGCTGGACGTGGAACAGCAACGGCTGGTCCTTCGTCCTCGGCGGCCTCGACTTTGCCGGCGGCTCGCCCGTGCACATCTCCTCCGGCGCCGCCGGCCTCGCCATCAGCGTCTACCTCGGCAAGCGCTCGGGATGGGGCACGGCGCGGTGCGTTTTTCTTCGATTTTGGGGGGGGGGATTCTTTGGATTCTTTTCCGTCGTGGCATGTCGTGTCGCCCTGTGGAGCCGCGTAGTCCGTCTGTGGTCCGCGCGGCGTCGTATGCGCCGTCTTGCTGGCGCCTCCTACGTTCCCGGCTGCGTGCTCCGTTATCACCCATCCTCCTCATTTTTTGGAATACTCACAATTGCTGGCACCACGTACTAACGCCCGCACAGCCTCGCGTACAAGCCGCACAACACGTCGTACGTCGTCCTCGGGACGGTCTTCCTGTGGTTCGGCTGGTTCGGGTGCGTCTCTTTCCTTATATTCGGGTTCGAGCGATTTGTGTTTTGTGGACGGAGGGAGGGAGATTTGCTTCTGCTTCCTTTGCGTCGCGGCGACTTCGAGAGAGAGGGGAGAGAGCGTCGGGATACGGGCGCCCGACACGCCGCGCGCGTCGCAAGTCGAGTCGTGAGGGCGGGTCGATGAGCTTAGCCGGACAACGCTCTAGGACAAGCCGCATGCGTCACGTCTCGTCGAGCGTCGTTGCTGCCCGGGGGGGCGAATGCAGTCGGGCCCCGGGCGTCCTGCTTCTCCTATATCCGGGCTGGGGGCCTGACGAGCGGCGTGCGTCGTGGTCCGTCGCTGCTGCCGGGGGCGAATGCCACCGGATGGCGGGCGTCGTGCATCGCGTCGTGCTCCGCTCTGTCTCTTTACTCCCCCTCCTTCCCCGCCCGCCCTCCTTCCTTTTCGTCCCGCGTTATTAGGCCCCCACCGCTGACGCGTCCCACAGCTTCAACGGCGGCTCGGCGCTCTCGGCGAACCTGCGCGCCGCGAACGCGTGCATCATCACGAACCTCGCGGCGAGCGTGGGCGGGCTGGTGTGGATGTTCTGGGTGCGTCTCCCTCTCCGTTTCCGTTTCCGTTTCGTTTCGTTTCGGCGGATTTCGTTTCGCTTCGCCTCCCTCGCCACGGACGCATACATACACATTCCTCCGTCGATACGCGCTCGTCCGACGTATCCTGCTCCTCCGTAACCCGTACACGTCCTGCCGCCGCGCTCGTACATACCTTCCACGCCCGCCTATCTTGTTGCCTTCCCTCTCCATGGACACATACCGGCTACGCGCTCCTCTACGCATACTTCTTCGTGTTTCGCTGCGCTAGTACTACCTTCCCACTACCTCCCCCCTTCCCCGTCCCGCCCCGCCCCTCCCTTCCCTCCCGTCCCCGTCCTACAATACCCCGCTAACCCCCTTCCCCCGCAGGACTGGCGCCTCGAGCGCAAGTGGAGCGCGGTCGGCTTCTGCTCGGGCGCGATCGCGGGGCTCGTGGCGATCACGCCCGCGAGCGGGTTCGTCGGCGCGCGTGAGTCGCTTTCTTTCGTCCCGCCGTAGTGCACGTCCGCGTCCATGTCCGCGTCCGCGCCCGCGCCGACGCGTCCTCGTCCACGCGCACACCCGCCTCGTACCCCCATGCCTCCCTCTTCCTCCACCCCGTCCACGCGCGCACCCTCCTACCCCCCTCGCTCCTCCACTCCGCCTCGCCTTCTCGCTCCGCAGCGCCCCGCCCTCATCCGGCCCTCCTCCTTTCCTCCCCGCCGACCGCTTGACCGCTCGCTAACTTACTCCCCCCCAGCCGCCGCGGTCCTCTTCGGCTTCATGGCCGGCACGCTCTGCAACTTTGCGACGCAGCTCAAGTTTGTGTTTGGGTACGACGATACGCTCGATGTGCGTGCGCCTTCTTCTCTTTCCTTCCTCTCGTTCCCTGCGTGTCTCGTTCTCCTTCCTTCT